TCTATGGTCTGCTAGGGTTTAGGGTTTAGGGTTTAGGGTTTAGGGTTTAGGGTTTGCGGACACGGGAGCGACGGCTCCAAGGGCGGCAAAGGCCGCCAGGGGGAAGGCGGCGCGCATGGCTTGTTGTTGTTGAGGGTTTGGGGTTAAGGGGAAGGGGGAAGGGTTTAGGGTCTAGAGGAAGGGTTTAGGGTTTAGGGTTTATGGGAAAAGGGTTTAGGGTTTGGAGGAAAAGGGTTTAGGGTTTAGAGGAAAAGGTATTAATATATGTATAATAACCAATTGAATATGTACTGCTAGGAGGAGTTGCTGCTGCTGCTGCTGTTGCTGCTGTTGTTGCTGCTGCTGCCTCGCGGAGGTCACCGGCTGCGTCGGGCGGGAAGAGACAGCGCCGCGCTTGCTGCTGCTCCTCCTCCTCCTGCTGTTGCTGCTGTTGCTGCTGCTGCTGCTGCTGCTGCTGCTGCTGTCTTGGGGTGTACAGGCAGCTAAGGGGGTCTATAATATATTATACACATATTAACCTTTTCTTCTCCTCCTTATTAACTAAAGGAAATAACTGTTGTCCCCCGCTGCTGCTAGTGCTGCTGCTGCTGCTGCTGCTCCTGCTGCTGCTGCTGCTGCTGCTGCTCCTGCTGCTGCTGCGCTGCTGCACTCTTTTGTGTCCTTCTGTCTCTTTTGTCTCTTTTTTTATTTATTTTTATTTTTTATTTATTTTATTATTTTATTTCTATTTCTACAATTATAACTACCTAAGACAGTCCTAACTACCTGCTGCTGCTGCTGCTGCTGCTGCTGTTGCTGCTGCTGCTGCTGCTGTTGCTGCTGCTGCTGTCTCCATTGTCTCTTCTTCTTTTTTTCCTTGTCTTCTTCTTTATTTCTTCTTTTAATTTATTTATTATTTAATTAATTACTCAACTCAATCATAACTATTTCCTCATTAATATTGGCTAGCTAGCTAGCTAGCTAGCCAGCTAGCTAGCTAGCTAGCCAGCCAACAGCTAGCTACCCCACAACTAGGAGCTAGCTACACCACAACCCTACAGCTAGCTACCCCACAGCTAGCTACCCCACAGCTAGCTACCCCACAGCTAGCTACCCCACAGCTAGCTAGCTAGCTAGCTGCTGGCAGGTAGCGAACAAATATGTATAGCTGGCCAACAGCTACAACTAGCCAGCAGCTAGCTACACAGCAGCTAGCTAGCCAGCTAGCTAGCCAGTTAGCTAGCCAGCTAGCTAGGCACCTGCTATCTACCCAGCTAGCTGTTTGGCTAGCTAGCTGATTGGCTAGCTAGCTGTTTATCTAGTTGCTTCTTGTAGGGAATTAAGGGGCAGCAGCAAGAGGCAACAAAAGAGACAAAGGGAGACAAAAGGAGACAAAAGGGAGGAGATGAGGCAATAAGGGGAGGAGAGTCTCCTTTTGTCTCCTTTTTGTCTCCTTTTTGTCTCCTTTTTGTCTCTTTTTGTCTCCTTTTGTTCTTTTTATTATATAAATTAATAAAAGGAGACAAAGGAGACACGTAGGTGCCCGTTAGGTACCCTGCAGTGTATGTGTGTCTCCTTCGCTCCTGCTCCTGCTGCTGCTGCTGCTGCTGCTGTTGCTGCTGCTGTCTAGAGGCAAACAGGGGAATGCTCTCGAGTCTGCAGCAGCAGCAGCAGCAGCAGTAGCCGTAGCCGCAGCAGAGGAAGTAGCCGCAGCAACAGCAGCAGCAACAGCCATAGCAGCAGCAGCATATGTAGCAGCAGCAGCAGCAGCAGCAGCAGCAGCAGCACAAGTCCCACCAGCAGCAGTAGTAGTAACAGTGCCACCAGCAGCATCAGTAGTAGTAGGTACAGCAGCAGCAGCAACAGCAGCAACTGCAGCAGCAGCAGCAACAGCAGCAGCTGGTGTGTCTGCTGCCTCTCTTTATTAGCCAAAGCTTATTGCTGTTGGGGTCCTACAGCAGCAGCAGCAGCAGCAAGAACAGCAGCAGCAGCAGCAAAGAGCAGCAGCAGCAGCAGCAAAGAGCAGCAACAAAGTGTTCCTCTTGTAGCAGATAAGAAAGATTAATAAAAAGGAGACAAAAAAAGAAGAAAAGAAGACAAAAAATAAATAAATAAATAAATAAATAAATAAATAAATAAATAAATAAATAAATAAATAAATAAATAAATAAAATTAAATAAATAAATAAATAAAAAAGGAGACAATTAAATAAAATAAATAAAAAGGAGACAATTAAATAAAAAGGAGACAAAAGGGGACAGGCAGCTAATATACTTGCTGCTGCACTCTAAGAGACCATAAACCCTAAACCCTAAACCCTAAACCCTAAACCCTAAACCCTAAACCCTAAACCTTAAACCCTCAACTGTAAACCATAAAACCTCTATGTAAACTAATAAGAAGGTTATATTTTATGCTTTTATTAGGGTTTATTCTGCTGCTACTGCTGCTGCTGGTGCTGCTGCAGCAGCAGCAGCAGCAGTAAATATAGTTAAGGTCCTTAATAAACCCTAGAAAGGG